AAAATAAGTTTAAAGATGATAATATGCTATGGTATTGGTAAAGTAAGTTTCATTACCATTAAAAATGGTTGGTAACCATTACCAAAAAATCATCAATTAGTATAGAAGTAGTAACTCTTTTTCATTACCACTTAAAACGATTACCATCATTTAAGTTCGATACAATTACCATACTGTACCATGCCCAGCCCTAATATCTGACACTGTTAATGAAGGTCGAATATTGAAGTTAAATACAGTATCGCCACCACTAGAACACATGGAATTGCCTTATTATTACTTTTTCATTGTTCTTGTTCAATGTAATTATGAAAAAGAACAAAAATATATACCTTTTGTCAAATTGAGGACAGGGGAAAGAAAATTGTTAACTATTTTTTTTTTTATATATAAGGATAATGGTTAAGAAATTAATATAAATTAATTGTTAATAACTGGAGATTCGATTCTCAGATCGGGTGAATATTTCACCCCTTCAAATGAGGTGCGCGGCCATCAAGCCGCTTTTTAGTGAAGTTTACGATAGTGGTAGAATTCAAAATTTCGACCACCTCACCCAAACACTTAAGATTTGAGATGGATTTGAGATGGAACTATTAAGCCCAAAGGTCCATTCCGAAAATTGTTAACTGTTGTTTTGTCTACTGAACGGGATCTTATCTCTTAACTGTTGATGAACATAAAAATAAAAATAAAAATAAAAACTCTTAACGGTTGATAACGGGCTGAACGGATTTGTTGGGTTGACATTTGAGCAAGCCCATTACTTGATGATGTCTTTGGGTTGAGAATTTGCTATTACCCTGGGTCTCACATGTCTGTTCTTTCTGGGTTGTTGAATTGGGCCTAATTCGTAGGCCTTTTTCAAAGAAAAAAATTCCAAATTTGCATCACCTTTAGCAGTAGACTGCTGTCTCGAATTCAATTACAGAACCCAGATGAAACAGACTAAAAGGGATGGAATTTCTCTTTTAATTCGTTCTCTTTTTCTTTTGGTGATGTTTTTCTAAAAAGCAAACATTATGAGGGAAAAAGAAATGATCTCTCTCACCTTCATCTCAATTTTGTCCCATAGAAATGATGAGCCAAACCAAACGCCATGCCTACCCACAAGTGAACTTCTTTCCCCCCTTATGAGCAAAGCATGTTGCCTCAAAACAACCCACGTGCAATGATAATTCTTCCCCAATATATTGTTGAGGGCACTATTTATGCTTTGAATTTGATATATATAAAAAAAACCCATATCCATGTCTCTATTTAATTATACTTCAAAAAAATTTTAAAATATTATAAAACTAAAAACTCATGTTAAATATTAAATCGAAGGTGGTTGTGGATTGTGAAAATAACATGGGTATGAATTATATTACTTCATATGATATGATCTCCCACCCAAAGGACAAAAGTCCCACAAAAATAGCAAGGATAAAGAGGAGTGGGGCATGGACTTTTAGAAAGTCGGTGCCTTGATGATGCTCTTCTCTAATGAAAATTATGTTGCACTAACTTGATTTCCCTTGTTTCTTTTCTAGCTACCTTATTATTATTCCATTCACATTCACATTATTATTCCATTCACATTCACATT